AGCGCACACTCGACCCCTCCCCCCTCTTCACCATCACTGTCACCATCATCATCATCATCATCATCATCCTCATCATCATCATCATCATCCTCATCCTCATCGTCCTCGTCATCGTCCTCATCCTCATCGTCCTCGCGTCGTGGTCGTCGTCGTCGTCTTCGACGTCGTCGCCATCATCACCATTATCATCATCATCGTCGTCATCGTCACAGGTTCATTCCACAATTTTCATATGTCCAGGTGATGTTAAGCACTATCAGGCATCACAAGGCCGCCTGTTTCATTCCGCAGTTTGCGTTGTCCAGGCCGGGAGGAGGGGGAGGTCGCTGTTTTCGTCAAAGACACGGTCCGTGAAACAAAAGCTTGTGAGGATACTGAATCTCGGATGACAGCCCCTGTGCATGTCAGCAGAGATGAGAGTTCGTAACGCCTAAGGGGAGGACCATCCTGTCGTGATCGAGGCCGCCAGTCCTTTCACTGTATTTTAGGGGCTTTGCCCGCTTCTGCCAACTCGCAATGGTGGCTCCTAGGGTAGTAGGGCAGAAGTCACCCGGGCTGCAGTGTATCTGATGTGGAAATGCCTGGTAGTGCTGTGGGTGGAAAGGGAGGCAGAAGGAGGAACGGGGGAGGAGAGCGGGTCGGGTCGCGCTGGGTTTGTGGCCAGTGTGTGCCACGAACCCTAGGTCTCGCAGAAGCCATCCTCGTGCTCGCCATGCTTGAGTGTGCACTCTGCTAGCTGCCAGTGTCTTCACTTATGCTTCCTTCTGCCTTGCGCTTGCACCCACCCGCCCGCCCTTTTATGGGTTGTAGCTGTAATAATATATGTGCAATGCGGCATTATTGAGAGCTCTCATCACTGAGCCAGTCTGTGTGCCCGAGTGCACTTGCGATATGTTTATCCCCGGCGCTGCTCCGTGGTGGGACATGTTGTGCCAGAGTTTGTGCGCGGTAGGGTTCTGGGCGGGGTCTAGGGGGCTTGCACTCTCGCTTTGAGGTTTACAAGGGGAGGGAAGGAAGGGAGTAAGGCGGGCCGTCTCGAAACCGCTGCAAGCGGAGGCACTGGCAGCAGGGGACGAGAGAGGGGAGCTCTTGCCTTGCGCTATCTTGTGGTCTGCCCCGCGAGTCGGGGTGGATACCTGATGCAAAGCCTCTGAGCCATGCTTTCCTCATGTGCAGATGCATGTTCTTTCGGCCCACCCTCGGCGTACAAGCGTAGAGACGATGCTTTTCTGAGGGAAGAGGCCCGCCTTGTGGGCCTAGTCAGTGAGATCGACGAGGCTTTCAAGCAGGTCGTGCAACCCCCAGCCTTAGTTCAGCTTTCGTCTCTTAGTGCTTGTACGTATGGTTTGTTCAGGAATCGAACAACGAAGCAGCTAGCATCCCGGCAATCGACGGCCACAGCTGACAGATGTTACTCATGTTCTCCTGCGAGGCCGGAAGCTTGCTAGCAAAATACCAGAAGGCCGAGAAGTCGCGATGTGACTTCTGGACAGCTTCCCGAAACTGAAGAGGCTTTCCGCACCAACATGGGCACAGACGTGGGGAGTTCCCTCCACTTGAAGAACTTCCTGAACATGAACCTTTCAACTGGCAGATCTTTCTTGCAGCGCTGGGCCAAGGGGAGAGGCAGTGCACCAGGAAGCCGTCCTTGCTCGGTGTCTGAGGCGTGAGCCCCTGAAGGCCGAGGCGAGGTTCTTCCTTTGTTAGCCGAGGAAGCTTTGTGCCTTGGAGAGAGCCCGCAGGGTGTTGAAGCTGTCCTGAACGGCATCAAAAACGACACCACCGCTACTCTGACCGCAGCGCGCGGTCAGGATGCTGCACTTCACATTCCAATGCAAATTTGGTGCTACAGGCTTTGCAAGAAGAGCTTGTGAAATGCACGGATGTTGCAACGTTTTGGTTTCGCATAGCTGTGGAGTCTGGAGGTCGGAAGAACCGCGTACATCGGCTCATATCGGTTCTGACTAGAAGCAATACAGTAATTGCATGCATGGTGAGGAGACTCGACGTATCCAGTCCCATACAAAGCTGCTACAAGACAAGGCGACCCAGGTCAAGGCGAGATATCTGCGACCGAATGCTCCGGCTGACCGCGTTTTGCATGCAGACCTTGCCGTTGCAGGCGCTGGAGCAGCAAAAGCAAGACAGGCGAAAAGCAACGGCGGACGCAGCTGAGACCAAGGCGAGCAACAAGGACGTGTCCACCTTGGTGCAGCCTCGCAGCTCGCGCTGCTACGTCGGTGTCACGAGTGTATATACTGAGATCATTGCCAATCTCGAAGTCCAGATTGCGGAAGATTCCGCGCAACGGCCTAAGTGTCACGGTGGGAAGTGAGAAGCGCTTCGGAACAGCACAGCATCCCCATGGACGTACAGGTTTCTGGTCGACGTGAAGTCAAGATGCCAGGCGATGGATCAGGAGAGCGGAGAGCTGCTGGAAATTCGCAGTGTAGGCCATGCCAGTGTAGTAGACGTAGTGGCCGTAGTGTTTTCGTGTGCAAGGAGTGGGCGCAGCGTCAAGCGACGCGAGGAGAGGAAGTGGGAGCGATCGCCAAAGCAATGGAAATACTGAAAGAAGAGGCTGTCAAAGAAGCCTTGTTACAGGACACCGCGCACTGCTCGCAGCAAATAGGGGTAGAGGGGTTCCGTGGAGGAGCCAGCAACCAAGCAAAGTGCAAGTTTTTGGGGTCACTTCAACGCCGGCTCCTTCCTGCAGGCCACCAACGGGTGCCTACTTTCCCCTGGCAATTCTGGTGACCTGTAGGAACAGGCTGTGTCGCACGAGCGCAGGAAGCTTTCCGAGGCTCTTTTGAAGGCGTACCGGGCCCGCAAGTGACAGAAGCTTGTGATAGAAATTGTTAGCTTGTGTAGGTCGGTCAGCGGCATGACCTGCGTCTTGTCACGCTGGCCTTCCGAGCCAAGATCGATAATTTTGCGACTGTCAAGAAGGTCAGACGCTCAAGACACTCATGCGCCGCCTAGTCATGGATTCGCATGGATGCGCCATCCATACCGTGGCAGAATATCCGAGCTGGTAAGCACAGAATCCAGCTCAATATCCGACTGACACGAGCTGGTTCATGCAGCGAGCAGCTAGTCCCCACGTCTTGCTACAATCGGTAGTGCAGCTGTTGCTGCCGCTGTGTTACTGCTACTATGCTGTTGTTGCCGCTGTGCTACTACTCGCAAGGAAGTTTGCGGCTGCTTGTATTTCCTGTCACAATGATCAGGATGGCGGCCACCAATATCAAAGTGGGCATCGTAACACTGTGTCAAGGCCGTGATCGTTCTATCTTCCTCTATGGTGACGTTGAGCGCATGATTTTGATGATTATCATCGTCATCATCATGAGGACCACCATTTAATTCTTGCCTGTTTTCTTATCATCTTGTCGGTCAAGCATGGCGGGCACACAGTCGTCTCGGCATGAACATCATGCGATATGGTGCCGGGCAATGTGGGTGACGACGACAGTTGCATATGACGCCGATGATGTTGCCGTGGGTAAACATGACGGCGATGCTGGCACCGAGTGCGGTGCTTTTGATGTCGATGATGGTGGTGATGATAGCGACGATGGTTTTGGCGGTGATAACGACGACGACAACGACAACGACGACGAGGACGACGACCAAGATGATGGATGATGATGATGATGATGATGATGATGATGATGATGATGATCTTGAGATTGGTGGCAGCCATGCTTTGCTTCACGGATGCAGTTGTTGCATGGCCTCGCGGGTGCCCAGGCCATCGAAAACATGACAATAGCCCTAGAAAAGGAGCAGCAGAATGAGGCGCACAATCTCGAAAGCCAGGAACCATGCCTGCCATGTGCGTTTGCAGCAGGTCAAGCATCGGCAATACTGTGCCGATCAACTGGACGATAATGAGCTTGACGCCAAGGACCTGCTGGTTAATCCTTGCATTTGCGGTTCACGTGTAGGCATGGAGGCATTTTGTGTTGTTGCTTTTTTGACGACACTGACTTGCTAGGCTTACAGCATGCTGCAATGGCTCGACTTGTCGCAGCCGTGCAACAGATTTAGGCCTGCCCTGCAAACAGACTGACGCAGCTGGAGGCGAGCCCCGAGAGCCTTGCACAAGTCCTTGTTTGCAGCAGCAGCAACAGCAGCAGCAGCTGTGGCAGTAACAGTAGCAGCAGCAGCAAAGAGCCACGAGCGGTTGATCTTGTGTGGAAGGAGAAAAATGCTGCAAAGCAACAGCAGAGCGCTGATGAGATGGGGTTGCAGGCGCGCGGGTCGATGCTGCGATCTGTGATCGATGCGAGCCTCAGAGGCCGAGATCGCGGCCGCCACTAATGAAGCAGCGATTCTGCGCGACACTAAGTTTCTCGTGTGAGCGTGCTTCTTTCATCCGGGTCTCGTAAGGCAGAGTGAGGTAGATGAGTTGCTTGCTCAAGCAAAGCTGGCGAGCCAAAATCGGGAGAAGGACATGGTAGATTCGAAAGACAGTGCATCCTGTTGTGCTTTTGGATTCTGGGTCTTCAGTAAGTGTCATTGCAGAAACATGATCGGCTTCTCCCTGCTACAGGAGAATGGGGAGTTTCAATCTCTGATTCTCGAGCAGCGCGAGAAGAAGAGAGCACTCGAGCAGGCGCGCAGTCATCATGCGACGAACACCGTCTCCACAGATCTGCGTGTGATGTTGAGGCATTGGCAGTTCTCAAGGATACATACTCTTCAGAGGCTGTGTGACTCTGAAAACCCTGCGCTGCAGTGGGAGAGCTTTGGGGCGGTTGCAGGATGCATCCATGCTTCAGCTGGACCAGTCGGAATCACCGGCAGGCAGGTTTGCGCTGCATCCCTGCTCGGAGAGGGGGGTTGGGCGAGTGCTTGAATTGCTGCAAGTTTCGTGCCAGCTTAAAACAGCCGACAGACTGGACAAGGTGGCGTCCTTTCTGGGTACTCAGAAGAAGAGAAAGACTGGAAACAGCGTGCAATGTTTGAAAGTCAAAAGGCCTGCAATAGCTCATGCAATGCTATCAGGGCTGTTCGAGGCGCCGCAAGGACCGTAACGACTTTCTAGATCCTGACGTCCATGACTCACGCAATTTTCCAGCACCGGCCTAGAACAACGTGTGCTGCCACTTGCTTTGTCCATAAAGAGCTGTTTCTTAGCTAAGAAGCGGTTGCCACTAAAGTTAGTTGCAGAAAGGTCTGTCGTTGGAAAGCGACACCTTATCGTTCGAAGTACGAAGCCATGCAAACTGGGATTGAACAGGATTTGCTAGCACTGCAATGATTTTTCTCTTCGGTGCACAGGTGCTGGACTAGCAGGCAGCTGGTGATGGGAGTGCTGGAAACACTGTCTATCAAACACAAAAGGAAGCACCGTCATGATCATCCGTTTGAGTTGGAGCTAGTGTTCCCTTTTTCACAGAGGCACATAGGTGCACTTACACTTGACATGAAGGCGGGCACAGAAGCAGACAGACCGGCACGCTCTGTTGGCACGCTCCGGCAAGCAGGCTTTCACACACTTTGAAGTTTTAGCAGCGCAGCGGACGAAGGCTTTGGCGCCTACGAGCATGCATCCGGAGGCGGACAAGCTTCAACATGTTTGTACCGTTCCATGGCCGCTCTCGAGGCAAAGGTGTTCTCACAACGATCCAACAGGTGATTGCGGACACGGAGGCACGGAGTGCACGGATACGGTGGAAGGGAAGCTGCTCGGCTAGTTTTCTGTGTCAGGCACTGTCCGCCGAAGCTGCCCAAGCAGAAACCGCTGCTCAACAGAACTACGAGGCGATGCTATTGCTTGGAGGGCCAATTTTGCCCCAATCGTGTCTGCAGGCATTTGCAGCTGAAACCGCGGATGCCGTGAAGCTCAAGCGGGAAGGTATTCGGAAGTTGAATGACAAGCACGCGAAGCAGGAAATCTGGCGGCAGACCACAACTTGCTGTAATGAGTGTGGTTGTGTCCTGAGCCGGCGTGTGTTTGTGTCTGTGTGTGTGTGTGTGTTTGCATCTTGTGATCCATGGACACTAGGCAACGATTAGAAGTGAGCAGAAAGTTATTGAAGTCTAGGTAGTACTTGTCAGCTCCGCAGATGTTCTGATGTGTGTCGGGAGTGTAGTGAAGAACGTTGTCAGTCTGTGTGCACGCAGGAGGTGCAGTTGGCGGAGACTGCTGAAGCAAAGCGCCGTTTCGACCTGAGAATGCGGGGGAATGTTTTCCCGAAGGGGTGTGAACAAAAAAGCTGTGACCCCGTTTCCAAGTGACCGTGGTGGAGATTGCGCAGCTGCTGGAAGCGAAGGAGCAGCTTCATGAAAGTGCCTGGCCAAATCGGCGCCGTCAGGTGGAAGTGCACATGCATGAAGATGTATCTGTGAGGTTGCGACTTTCTGCTCCGCCAATTCGAGGTAAGTCAAAAGGCCCGCTGTGGACTTGTCTTGTCCTTCGTGACGACTTTTCACGACAGGCACGGGCTGAGGAGCTCCAGGCCCTGGAGCGAGCGCGGGACGTTCTGTCTGGTGCCCTAAAGGGCTAAGCACAGAGATGACCCTGGAGCGAGCAAAAAAGGTGGCTTGTTTTGTGGGGTGTTCACGCAAAACCAAACGTTGTATGCTCACAAGGTATCAAGACATACTGTGCGGACAATTACATACTGTTCGGTATGTACCATGATTACCTATGTCTGCATGTATGTATCTATCTATGCATGCATACATACTATCTATGCATGTATGATCATGTATGTATGCATGCATACCTATGTGTGTGTGTGTGTGTGGGGTACCCCTCTGAATACAACTGAGTATATTACTGCTAGCATATGCATTTTTTGGCGGGCCCCAAGCTGCCGCGTGAACCTTCCCCACACCTCAACAGAAACCGTGCATACTCTATTACTCCCACCTGCAATCTATTGGACAATTCACATCGGCCATAAATCCGAAACGCATTTGCGGCTGTAAACAGCACAGTGTCGCAGTTAATCAGATAGCAGACTGTCATACCCGCAAATACAACGAATTAGGCTTGCAATTTTTTTACAAGAGTCCAGATCAGTGCATCTTATCCCTACTGCAAGACTTTCGCGAATCTGGTTTTGATACACATCTCAAGTCCTCAGTTATCAGCGAGGCCTTGTATATCCTTGACCCTTGTAAGACTCATCACCCTGGAACCTGACACTGTTTCGGAGTATTCGCAAACCCAAGTCTTTAGATCGTCAAGCTTTCTGACACGTACAACTGTTCACAAGGTAGGAGCAAGCCTGCGGATTGAGCAGGCCCTTATATAACAGCGACATCATCATGTTCACAGTTTGAAATCGAAACTCTCGGGAAAAGTCTTTATGGTTCCTAGTGAAGTCAGAGTTCTGTTTTTTCTTCACCATTCAATACTGGGTGCTTTCGTCCGCAACTTGTTATTGTTTACTTGTCCGAATTCCTCGTGTTCTCATCCGCAGCCATGTCACCGAACCATTGAAAGGAGCAAAGCATGCCAAAGATCTTCTCGTCGAGCGGAGGGCTTCTGCCTGCACAGAAAACCACACCGAAGTTACACATGCCCCTTGTTTCACCCGGAAGGGCTAAGGTGCATGACAGTTGCTAGGAAGACACAAGGTAAAGCCCGGTTTCAAGGCTTTTGAGGATTCACGAGGGATGAAGTTTAAGGAGGTTTCAAGGTTTCAGGATGTTTCAGGGTCACGGCGTAGGCTATGTGAACACCATGAGAAGCCTCTCGGTGCTCTGCCCTCTGCTCTCCCTCACGTGGTGCTCTGGCACGTGGGAGCCCGAGTCGCTGCAACTCTTGCAGCAAAGGCCTTGGTTCTCCGGATTTAGGTTTTGGGTTTAGCTTTTGGAATTTGGGATTTACGGTTTAGGGTTTAGCTTTTGGGATTTGGGGTTTAGGACCTCGATTTTTCGGTGGAAGGCTTCAAAAACGAACTGCGCCCTCCCTTCCGGCCGCAAAGCAAGGTGCATTTTGGAAGGCTTCGAAAAAGCACCAAGCAAACTGCGTGTTGGAGGGTCTCGCAAAGGCACTGCCCCCTCCCTCCGGGGCAAAGCAAGGTGCGTTTTGGAAGGCTTCGCAAGCGCATTGTCCCCTCCCCCCGGCCGCCGCCAGAATGAGTTTGGCCGCACTGTCTCCTCCCTCCCGGTCGCAAGAAAAATGTGTTTTGGCCGGCCTGAATACTAAACTCTCCTCCCCCTCTTGCCGCAAGCAATATACGATTAGGACAGGCTCGAAAATATACATCTCCCGCCTTCCCGGACACAGGATTGAATATGCGTGGACAGGCTCTAAATAAATCATGCCTCCGGCGTGTTGGTCCTCTGTGTGTGTTTTTTTGCATGTCGTGCGTGTTATTCCCCCGCGCATGTTGCATCAAGCGCGTGTTTAGTGAGCTCTGTTTGGGGTATACGGGTTTTGGATGGTTTTAGGATTTGGGGTATTTTGGGCTGAAGGGCTTGGGGAAAAGCTGGGGTTTACGGTATAAGGGTTGGTTTAGGGTTTTGGGATTTGGGATTTAGGGTTGCTTTTGGGATTTTTGGTAAGAGTCTAGGGTTTTGGGGCTGAGGGTTTTTGAGGGCTCAGGGGGCCAATACCCGATCAAGTCCTTTAAGAGCTTTAAGAATTCTAGAAAGCCACACAGTAGCCTACAGTCAGTATGGATTGCGAGCTCAAGTCTGGCAGGCGTTGGTTTAGGCGGCTTCATGGTGTAAGATTTGTCGTGCTGGATTTAGAAACTAAGGTGTTGGGTTGAAACAGGACTTTTGAATGCCTGAACAGTGGCCAATCTGTTTTGGGGTTGAGGCTTTATTTGGGTTTAGAATATTTATCTAGACTTCATCTGCAGTCTAGCCACCCACAGCCTTTCAGCTTAGGGTTTCAGGTTTTAGTAAACGTAAGGTTCAGTTCAGGTCTTGTTCAGCCCGTGCTCCCTTGCCGGCCCTGCCCAAGCCTTCAATCTCCGCACCCTGACAATTGGGGGGCCCTTAGCGGTGAAGCAAGGTGTTCGGGGTACTGCTTTGGGCCAAGCAGTTTGCCCAAGGCTGTCTGCCTTGTGCCCTACATCCTACAGGTCATTTTCCGGCAACTTTACCTGTTCGAGTAGTTAAGGCCCCTTTAGTAGAGATCTTGAAGATTGACAGGGAATAAAATGTGTCTTTTGCTGGAGTTCTTAAGCTATCCGGGCATGCTGTTTCAACCACCCAGCCTTGACGCCAAAGCCAGTAGAGGTTTAGGGTTTAGGGATGACTCGCTGTGGCGGGCAGCTTGGAGGCACTTCAGAGAGACCTCGTTCAAAAGGGTTTAAAGTTCAGGGTAGCCCCCAAATCCCAAAGCTTGGAACCAGCACACACACACACACAAATGCCTCAAGACGCCAACACGACCTAGAGACTCATACCCGAGCCCCCTTTTTGAAAGGGTACCTACTTTTCTATACTCAAAAAAAGAGTTAGGCTATGAGCCTCTAGGTATGAGTTGAATCCTGCAGCCTCCGACCCCCAAACTTCAGACCCTGATTTAAAGCCTAGTTGCTTTTGATAATATAGGGGCCTAAAGAATTACAAATACTATTTTTGCGGGTTCCTTATTATAACTTTGGTTTTGAGGGAGCCCAAAACCTTGTTCTAATTATTAAGGCTCCTACATTATCAGACGCCCGTTTCTTCGAGGACTCGCTAGGGCGAAACTGCAAGACAGTGATGGTTGCCAACATCTGGCCTGAGGTGCCTTAGAGCTTGTGGCATTTTGTTTGTTTGTTTTTTTAGGAGGGGTGGTTCTGTAGTGTGTTTGTGAGGGTCCTACACATGGTTGAGTGTTTGCGGGCTGTTAAGTAATTTAGGGTGTCGGATTTTAATGGGTTTGGGTCCATAGTTTAGGGGTTATAACGGCATTAGGCTCAACAACATGACATGAAATGTTTCGTCATATTTTCATACGCAATTTTTCTCCAGTTTCAGCAAGATTGGCACAAGACGTCCGAGGGTAGGCTTGGGCAATATGGCGGGCTACACCTGTTGAGCATGATGCTGGAGGACCCTAAACGCAAAACCCCTAAACCCCAAGACCCCTAAAGCCTTGAAGCCCTAAAACCCAATCCTCCTATGCTAAGCTGGATTTTTGTCATCGGTGCCTTTGAACAGCTTTAGGCAAGGTTCCACTGACTGCTGGTTGAACTGTGGGTCTTCTTCTCTACTGAACGGGGTTGACGGGTTTGGGGTTTAGAGTGTAGGGTATATGGTTTATGGTTTTGGGGTTTAGAGTGTAGGGTTTAGGGTATAGGGTTTATGGCTTTACGGTTTAGGAAGTTTAGGGTATAGGGGTGTAGCGTTCTGACGTTTGGGTCTTGGGGGTTTTCTGGTTCGGGTGGCTGAGGAAGGCTATTGGGATGTGGATAAGAAAGTTGATTCGGAAGGCGTCTTCAGGCTTTGTGCAGTGCCTTCTCACTTCAAGTGCTGTTCAAGTCACAGATGTGTTGAAGCTTATGCTCAAAATCTTCAGTCCCTAAACACTGTACTCAGACGGTGCAGAGTCTGCGCTTCATGCTTTCAGCCTGTTGCCTAGCCTAATATGTGCTCATAAATTTACAAGTCGGTTTTGTAGGCTTATGGTCGACCCCAGTACCTAGCTGGAAAACCAGCGCCACCAATAGCTGAGCAATGGGGCTTATGGAGTCGTGTTTTGGGTTGTTTTTTGGGACGATCACAGTACAATTGAACGTGGGAGTTTAAAACAAGACATCAGCCCAATCATGGTAGCTGGCGCTGATGGACTTGGGTTTGGGTTTGGGCGTTGAGGAGGCCCTCAGCATCATGGTTAAGGACCACTCTTGCCCCACATTCGCATGGGGTCTTCAGTGTTTCAGCAAATAGGCGACCCTCATAATACAGACCGTAGGTCCTAGGATCCCGCCAAAAAGCGCAACATCCGAATTCTCAAAAACCCATAGATCCGAAACCGTACCCCAAACCCTTAACTCCTCAACAACAAGTCGATCCTAAGCCCGCATGATAGGCCTGGCCATGGATTGCTTGGCAGCTACGGTTTAGGCTTTAGGGTTCAGGGGAAATTCGTGAAAAATTGTCTTTCGACAAGAAGCGGCCCCCGTTTTTTGAGAATCCAGTTCAGAGTTCGGGTTTAGGTTAGGGTTTGGGGTTGTTGGAATCAGAGCCAAAGTTGAATTGGGCCCTTCTCTTCAATTTGGGAACATATATTCGGGCTTTGGGTCTTGATCTTGAACGCTTTGACAGAGGTTGAGTCGAGGAAGCAGTCTTGGTGCTCCCCTAAACCCTACACCCTAAACCCTAAACCCCCAAAACCTGAACTGTAAACCCTAAACCCTAAACCCCTAAACCCCTAAACCCTAAAACCCTAAACCCTTTTGGGTTTGCGGTTTAGGGTTCCAGGACCCTCCTCGTACCCTCAAATCGGGGTATACGGTCCCCAAAAGCGGGCACTTAGGGTCTATACGAGCGTGGTGGAGGGTCTGGGTCGGTATGAAAATAAAGGGTTTAGGTGGTTTAAAAGGCTTAG